ATTCAAGTCCCCCCAGACGCACCACGTGAGAAAGGCCTGGTAGATGCCCTCCTGAACAAGCAGCACGGAACTGTATGGTGCCATTCTATGTTGACACTCGGGGGTGGTGGTGGTGGTGGCAACAACAAGCCTCTGTCTCAGCCGTGCAGAATGTTTCTCCAACCAACTTAGTAAGCCTGGTAAGGTAATGGGGTGTCTATGGCAACTGGTTTTAACCCTGTTCTGTTTTTCCTTCTAAAAGCACCAACTAGTATATGTCTAAAACCATCCGGCATGCTATATCTGTGTTTCTAGAACGCTACAGCCTCCCTAGGCTCCCTGCTCCTTCCTTGGAAAAATTCACTGGTTTGTTCATCACTGCCCCTTAAACATTTTGAACAATGTCTGTCACACAATAGGGACTCAAGACATATCTAGCTTGAGAATTACTGAATGAATGCATCTTTGGTAAAGTGACAAAATGCCAAAACGTTTTGTCAGGCTGGAAGACACTGAGCCTGTTAGCAGGGATTCACCCAGAGGAGCCGAAACCTTTGATCTAGGGAGCTGCTTCCGTGTGTGATTGTCGTAGTAGGTATTTCTAGAATGGCTCTGATCTGCGTCAACACTCCCGATGCACAGTGGCTTAATGCTAATGCTAACTGCAGCTGCTATGAACTCACCTTCTCCAGAGGTAAGCCAACACTAAAGGTGGGTGTTTAGGGGCCATGGACCAGGGAGTCAGGCAATGGCTTTATTTCTGGCTCCCCAACGTTCTCACAATCCTAAGCCTCAGTGTTCTCATCTGTGAGACTCCACTAATTGCAACATAGATGTGAGGAGCTCTTGGTGGATTCATTGAGGTGATCTATGAAGTAAGTGCTCAACCACAGCACGTGACTATTCCTTGGGACTTTCCTTCATCTGTGTTGAACCCACTTCCAACGGGCACCTTTCCCCCTGTTTGCCTCTCATCTCCCATCACGATAGCCATCTCTGTGCCCAGCACAACCTTGTGCTCAATGGAGCTGGGCCCGCTGGTTTCCGGAGGGTGGGGGTTGCATGTTCTGGTTAGCGAAGAGCATGGCTTCTCCATGGAGAGTTGTGACTTTCTCTTGCTTTCCCTGTGTTGCCCAACACACAGGAGGGGCTGGGAGGGAATGAAGGAACCTCAAGAGGTAAACTCCTGACTTTTCCTCTTCCTCTGAGAGCTCACCTAACTCTACCGCCCAACTCCCTTCAGTCAACCTGGCACTTGATGTCCAGACCCACTGGTTTTTACCTTCTCTGCCTCACTTAGCACAACTGATTTCTAGTCGCCTGTTTCAAATTCTCTTTCCGTGTCCGACCCAGTAAATAGCATGAGGCAAAGCCTAGAAGGCAGAGGTAGAAGTACGACAATGTAGGTGAGCCCAGATGTGCATACAGCTGTGCCAGCCTCATCGTTCATACGAGTCTGAGCTTAGCCTGGGCATGGAATGGAGTCAGTTTCAGGCCGGGGAGCTGGAGTCAGGCTCCTGAAAAACTGTCTCTTAATATTTAATATTTTACTTCATACAGATAGATGGACATCTGTTCCTCAGAATAAATTGGAAGGAATACGAGTTGACCGTGTTGTAAAACGATCGATCTACCGTTCATCATGCTAAGGTAAGCGTATTCCACCTTTCCTTTGCTGAAATGAAACCGTCAGTGAACATTCGTAATTACATGTGCTGTATTTCAAGCCACAAAAGGAAGGTTAGGCAACGTCTTTTCCCAGGCCGCCCTTTCTTAGACTTTATACATTAAAGTCTAACACAAATCCATTAGAGGGAGCTATTATCTATTTTATTTTAGGGTAAGAACTGTATCTCCACATATACTTTTTTTAAAGAAAAGGTCTTTTTGTGTGTGTCAGCAGATGACAAACTCTGTGAGCACAATAGTGTGTCTTTTCACCTGTGTCCACCGCGGTAAGTGTAATGAGAACAAAAACAAGTCATGCATTGTGTGGGACCACTCATCGCCCCTTCCAGGGCAGAGGAGTACTGTCCCTGTATGTTCGTGAGGCTGTAAATCTGAACGGGAGCAGAAAGCCGCATCTTTCTCCCATGGACTGGCTCCTAGGCTCAAACGGCAGCCCAACGCACAACCACTGCACACAGCCCCTTCGCCTTGGCAGAGGAAGGGGAAAAAGCATGGACCACCACTTGAGGGATGCAATTTGTGTCACTGAATGGTGCTTGCAGAAATCACTGGACTGGTACATATTTCTCTGTGTATATTCTCAACTACAGCCACAAAATAAGCTCTCTATATATTTATAAATAACTAAGAAGAAGACAAGCTTAAAACAGGGGCTCACCACATGAGTTCACACAATCAGGCCGAGGAAGGCTATGTAACATCAGTGCGTGCAGCTGGAGCGGAGATGAGAGAAAGAAGACGGTGGGAGTGAGATCAATCGAAACGAGAACCAGGACGACCCCTTCCCTGTTCTCCAAGTGCGTTCTGTTCTTCTCCTAAAGGTTAACAAAGGCTCCCCCCACCCCACCCCGAGTCTGACTGTACAAATGAGATCCTGTTCCTTCCGTGGGAGAACTTGTTTTTACTGTAACTGTTTTTAGATCTTGTGAAAGTTGGTGAACTCGGTTCTTCTCCATTAGCCTGAATTCTTCCACACTCAGCAAATATCAACAGGAAAGGGCTTTAGTCACTGATAACAATGAAAGGCGGGAGCTCACGACGGGCTTAATAAGCTAGCTGCACTGACAGAGGGAGCGTCGGCGACACAATCTCCAGCTCATGTTCACAGAATAACAGGTTTCAAAGGATAGGACAAGACACGGAAATCCAGGTAAATGTATTCTGACAGTGACAGCAGCCTCGTCTCTGATGCAGCTCAGACTGGTTTAAGGTTCATTTTAGAACTGTCAAAGCTTTCAAGCAGAAAATTATCCTCAGTGGCTGAAACTTGGTTAAAGAAATTTCACTGTGCAAGGAAAAACCAAGTTACTTTAGGAACTGCTGGCGGGGAATAAATCCCAGTCAGGAAACAGGAAAATAACAGGGTCAGCCAGACGGGAAGTGCCATCCCCTTCCAGGGCCCCTGGAAATGATGGTTCAGCAAGGTGCACAGTGTCCGGTGGGGGGAGGGAGGGCAGTTCGCCCTGTAGCTAAACATACTCTCAAAGAGATGAGTCATCAGAGAGAGTATAAAAACAAGCAAACAAAAACAACACTGAATCAAGTCGATTCTGATGCATAGTGACAGTCTAGGGCAGAGAGCTGCCTGTGTGGGGTTCCGAGGCTGCGAACCCTTACGAGAGTAGAAAGCCTCATCTCTCTTCCTTGGCCAAGCTGGTGGCTGGGGACTGCTGACCTTTCGGTTCACAGTCCAAAGTGGATACCCTCAGGGCTCCTTCACTGAACCAGGAGAGCGCCAACCAGAGCTACCTTGGACCACGTTTTACGTCAGTTGGCACAGTCACCTTAAGTAACCTGTTGCTGCCTCATCAACTGACCCGTGTGTCCGCAGAGTTTTCAATGGGCTGATTTTGGGGAAGCGGATTGTGAATCTTTCTTCTGCGGTGTTTCTGGGTGGATCTGAGTCTCCTACTTTTACTGTTGATCCCCCCAGGGATTCACGAGTAACCACAGCTATAAACTCCTGGAGATTTATTCTTTTTCGGGGGTTATAATTCAATGCTATTATCATTTTGTTGCTAGATTAATCTCTGCAACCACAACTGGGCAGTTTGAGCAACAAACTAAATAATGAGATCACTGGATTATAACCTTCTAAATAAAAATAATGATGCAGGAATCCATGTTTACATAAATACGTAATTAAATGAATAAAGTATGAGTGGTTCGAAAGAAAGAACAAGAGCTTCCCATTAATTGGCAGAATACCATAAAGGTGTTCTTTTACCCTTGGAGCAGGTAGGGGGTTTGAACTGCTGACCTTGTGATTAGCAGTTCAGTGGATAGCCTACTATACTACCAGACCTCCTGTCCTGGGAAAGACATGCATGTAAATAATGTCCACTCCAGTCACTTGGGAGATCAGGGAACAAAGACTAAAACAATGGCATTCTTACCTACCCTTTATCTTTATCTAGCCTTATTTATATTTTCACTATCACCCGCAACCACAGCTTCTAAGAAGGAACAAGATAATGTGCTCTTTGTAGAGGAAATATCACAGAGGGAATCTGGGGAAGCCATGTCCTATTGCTTCTTAAAGGAGAAGAGAATAGGGGGCTGCACTTGGGGTGGTGTGATGGGAGGAGACCAGGAACAAGTCAGATATACCATTTTGGATTTAAAGTTTGAGAAAGTAGGTCTTAGAATAAGGTGACCACCAGATTTTAACATTGGTAAAGCAGGACAAAAGCGGGACACCATTGATAAAACTCATATCCTGGAGAAATAGCCACATGGCAGCCAAAAAACATACACCCTAGCTTGTTGTGCATTCTTTCCAAAAATCGGGACTTCTTAAAAATGCCATGGGACGCTGGACAAATTGTTAAAAATCAGGACTGTCCCGCCAAAATTGGGAATCAATCCGAGAGGTTTAACCAATGAGAAAATGCTATTCCTCAATAACTTCTCTTCACTAAACTTTTCAAAACTGAAATAAATATGCTCAATTATTCTGCTTGTCTTGCTCAGAAATAAAGTTAAATTCATCTGATCAATAGAAAGCATGCTTATAAGTAGTATTAGTGTGATTCTCTTGCCAGATATGCAAATATCTGAGGAGGGCTGTATCTAATGAAACGTAACTACACTTCAAAAATGGAGAGACCAAGCTTTGTGCTCCAAGCATGATTTTCTGATGGAGAATTTTGGATGTATGTAGCGTAATTACAAATAGTTCCAAACATTCTGTCTAAAATCAGATCTCAATGAGCCTTCCTTGTGGAGTTAACGGTTTCAGAACCCTCTGGAGGCAGGGCTGAAGGAAGCAAGCACATGGTCTCAATTTGAATGGGTCTCCATGCTGTATGGCGATGGCGGTCCGTACATACCTCCCACTGCATTACAGCGCGATGTCATCTCCCAGAGGACAAGCGCCATGGAGTAGACATCTGTCTGCTTGAAGGACTCAACGTTCTCCAGATTCATCCTGGACTCCAGGACTTCTGGGGCCATGTATCGTGCGGTTCCGACCTAAAGGGAAAGCAGCACTGAGGCTCATCATTTGTTCCGGCCGCATTAGTGCTTTCAAACTAGTTGATGCCTACTCTGTCTGTGCAGGTGAGAGCTGCAAAGTCCCAGTTGTTGTTTCAAATAATGAAACCTTTACAGAAAGGCACACCAGTTGCGCTGGTTTTCTTCTAATTGGTTCTATTTCCTGAAAGTGCTTTAAAGGCTAAAAGGAAAGAATGGCAAAATAAAGAAATGCCAAATTCCAGAGCTGGCTCATCTAGCCCCATGATGTGTGTCATCACAATCTTCAATAATGTCCTGACAGTTGTGACATTCTACATGTTTATTTTTGCTTTTGCAAATTAAAAAAAATTTTTTCATTTGTGGAACTCCAAGTTTAAGGTAAAAAATAACAATAATCAGGGCCTCCTTTTTTTTTAAATCATTTAAGAACTGTGTCTTAATCTTCTTATTTGCCCCATAGCACATTCCAGTGTGCTGAGGGTACAGAAGAATTATGTAAAAATCTCTACTGAATTAAGTCAAAATAGCACCACAGCAAGAGAACAACATGGATCATTCTGTAATCTCTTGTGTGCTGCCTGCATACTCTACTCTACTAGACCTGTGCTAATCTCTAGGATCGATCATATACAAACATGGGATCTAATACTTCTTTTGAATCAATCATTTACATGTTTGCATATCAAATCAAACACATATACTGCAATATAAACCCTAACACACACAATGGATTGTAACATCCCCGAGGAAGATCAAGTAGTTTGGAATCACCGTATCACGGAATATTTCTTATTGACATGTAACAGAATCTTTTTTTTCTTTATATCAAATCATTCTATCACTCATTGCCTGACACATGAATCTGTCTGTATTTCAACCAGTTTCCCGCGACACTGCATGTGCTGTCATGAATACAGAGGGATGTCTGCACAGTAAGTGAAAGTTTCTGAAGCATGACCTCCACCTGGTTAGACAAAATAGTGATAACCTTTATCAACTCCATTCTAATCTATAGCCAAGCTTTCTGCGTATAAGCCATGAAGTTCCATCATTCTTAAAGAATGCCTTGGAAATTTCCGATCACTTTTAAGGAGGTCCTTACACTAAAAAAGGTTACATAATAATTTGTGAATGTGTTTCAAGAATTGAATGGTGTATATTCAACTCAATTAAGACTTAGTGGCCAATTTCATGATTCAAAGCTTTGTGGCAGAGGGATGACCAAATGGATATAGATTTAGACTACAAGATCACTTTAAAAATGGAAAAGGAAATTCATATAAATACCCACTCAGTGCAAAGTACAAAGGGTCAAGTATCAATACGCGATGAAAATAATACGAGATAGCATACTGACTATGTGCAAGGCAAAGAGAAAGCATCTGCTAATGGGAAAGGCATGCGGGCTGACTCAGGGACAAACATGCCTGCCCTAAATTGGGGCAGACTTGAGGAATTGGTGAAATGTTGTCCCTTAGCAAAGGCATCCTGGTAGACCAGCAGTTCGCGACCCCTTTGAGGGTCGAATGACCCTTTCACAGGGGTCGCCTGATTCATAACAGTAGCAAAATGACAGTTATGAAGTAGCAACAAAATAGTTTTACGGTTGCGGGGTCACCACAACATGAGGAACTGTATGAACGGGTCGCGGCATGAGGAAGGTTGAGAACCGCTGCAGAACAAATACCCAGGGTACAGCTCTTACTGAGTTGACTAGGCTGAAATACAGATGAAAAGGTAGGGAGGTGGGCGGTGCCAGCAACACGGTAAGGGGGCCCCCAGGTACCCGTTATCACTTACCTGTCCACTGTTGGCCAGGTCGTCCACAGAGAGAGTCGGGTCCAGACGCAAGGAAAGTCCAAAGTCACAGAGACAGCAGGTCAGGTCATTCTTCACGAGGATATTGGAGCTCTTGAGGTCCCGGTGAACAATGGGCATCTTGGGCCTCCCGCAAGGAGTGTGATCACTGTGCAGGTGGGCAATGCCCCGCGCGAGGGAGCTGCCCAGCTGGCGGAGGTCCTCCCAACTGATGACGTGCCGAGTCAGATACTCCTGTAGGTTGCCCTTGGCGTGGAAGGCGGTAATCAGCCAGTACTGCTTCCCCAGCTCGGTCTTGCGTTCCTCGGCTGTCAGGAACTGCAGAATGTTCTCGTGCTTCAGGTTGATGTCCGAGAAGATGTCCTTTTCCGTCTTCCAGGAAGCGAACTCTTCGTAGGGGAAGATCTTGACGGCCACGGTCTCGAACTGCTCGGACGTGTTCTGCTTCAGCTTGGCCTTGTAGACCTCGGCGAAGCGGCCCTTCCCAACCAGCGTGTCCAACTCAATGGGCAGCAGCTCTGTGTTGTGGTTGATGTTGTTAGCGCAGGTGGAGCTGATGTCCGAGCGGTCGTCTTCCAGAATGATGGCGTAATGCTCGCTGAACTCCATGAGCTTCCGCGGTTTGGTGGTGCCGCAGGACGAGCTCAGCTTCTGCTGCCGGTGGACACGGTAGCAGTAGAAGGTGACAATCACCGCGATGGCGATGACCAGCGGCGGCAAGAGGCTGACGCCGGTCACTTGGGCAATGACCAAAAACAAATCTTGGCTGTTGGTGTTATACTCTGATGTGGAAACAGAAAAGGGGAGATCAAGAGCTGAGTTCGGTATGGATTCAGGAAATGGGTTCATACCTCTGGCACCGATGGTATTTATCTGCTGCTTAGTTTTTATAGAGCATATATTTAGGCCAGGGACGTTCATGTGTCCAGTCGGGTCCTCCGTGACTCTGGCTATGCATTCAGTGCCTTATACTCTTCCCTGCACTTCAACTTAAATGCTACTCCTTAGGGAAGCCTAAGGAGACATAGAAGAAACTGTCTTGTTTCATATATTCTTACAGCACACCATACAAGTATATCATCTATATAATTTGGCACCACTTCAAATAAGTAACTATGACTCCACTTACTAGATTCACATCTGTTTCCCCCTACTCGTCTCACCCTCCGCAGAGCAGGACCTCGCTGTGGGCAGGGAGAGCGTCTTACTTCTACATGTCTGTCAGTGGCATGTAGCACAAGGAGGGCCTCAGTACATGTGCAGAACAAATGAGTGAAGCACATATTGTAAAGTATGCGCAGGTTGCAAAGCCCTATGGGAGCTCTGGAGATAGAGGAAAAGGTCTATGGCTCCTGTCTGCCTCCACACAGTACCAAAAAGGTAGCATGTAACAGTACAGAGACTATCACAGCGTTACCAGGGGCTATTCTTCTCTCCGAACCCAACCTTCCCTGCTTTAATCAACAGCCAGGCTTCCAAGAGATAGAAGCTCTGGGCCTTTGGGGGCAGGTGTGCGAGTCTTTGGGAAGGGTCTCTGTAGGAGGAAATTAGCCTGATACCAAAAAACCAAACTGCCAGAGTGCCGATGCAGTTCCTATAAATATTTAGTAGCAACAAGGGAAATATTCCTACCACGGTGAGCAAAGTGGTTAAGCGAGCTTTCTCACCCATTGGATGAATGGAAGAGGATACTTCGCATTCGCCAAGAAGCTACACCAGTACATTCTGGTTCATGGAGTGGTCTTGGTTGGCACTGATTGAATCATTTTCCTCTTGGGATAAAGGATGTGGATGGGAAGCGTTAGTGGACAGGACACAAGGGAGAGGGCAGTCACAGTCCAGGAAGAGCCAGCTGCGAGGCTGCCTCCATCAGTCAAGAAGGCCAGAATTCTACAGCTTTGTAATTCCTCCATCTCCCCTCGAAGGTACTCATTAACACAGGCTCAGGGTCAAGGACTAAGACCTGGTCATTTAACAGGTTGTTCTGGACCTGCCACCCTCCTCAAAGAGGTTATAATCCAGTAGAGGAGTCAGACAGAGAAATGATTAGCAATATATGGCAGTCTGTGATGGGACCTGACTAACAGCAATTTATAAGATGACTTCAAAAAGTTTGTGGCAAAGTGCCATTAGTTTTTAATTCCATTTTCCCACAAACGTTTTGAAGTCCTCTCGTGTTGGTGGAATAGGGGAATAGGGGCCATGAATGGCCAAGTGGCCAGGACTGATGTGAGGTAGTCTCTGAAAGAGGTGAAAGTCAACGAGTAGAAGGAATGTTACCGACGTGAGTTAAGAAGTAAGAAGTATGATCCGTCTGAAGAAGAACAATTCCCCAAATGGCCTACTTTCCACAGGAGGGACAGAAAAGAAAAACATGTGATAAGTAGTCCAGAGTCAGACTGAATGTCAAAGAGGGGTTTTCAATGATTTACTGGCAATGTGCACACCCTTAGACTTTTTACCACCACCACCACCACCACCACCAAAGGATGAAAGTGCACACCAGGTAGAATGGGGTCACGATAAACCCTCAAGGTGAACATTTAAATCGCGTGTGGTGCCATCACTTAAGGTCGTGATGAGAAAAGAAGCTAGTACCATGTCAACTTTGTAGGTTTAATGGTTCACTACTTAAGCTAGTTCTGAGAAGGAAACGCCAGCTTCCTTTAATTATATGTTCTTGGTGAGAAGTTCAAGTGTATAATCTGTATCAGTTCCCCAAAGTGGGCCATATCCCCAATGGGGGGGGGGGTGCATTGGGCCAGGGGTGTGTGTGCAAAAGTAAGTACCTACACTTTAGATGGGTTGGAGGTTATATCACAAAAGTTTTTAATTGGCCGGGGGTGAGGAGCACTGAAAAGTTTTTTTTTTTTTTTTCTTAAAAGGACAGAAGGCCAAATAAGTTTTGGGACCTATGGTCTACATGATGCCACTAAAAAGTGAAAAAGCAATGCCCAAACACCAGAATTTCAGTGAGTAACATGAAAGCATCAACATTTAGGGCAAAAGATACATTAATACATTTAAAAAAATAAAGATTTTTAAAAAGAGATAAAATTTGGTGACAGAATCATAAAAACCCAAATCCTTATTTACACTGGGAGACTTGTTTGGGGACAAAAGAGAAATGGGAGTGAGGGGAGAAGTGAGGGGAAACAAAGTAGGGTTGCAACTGAAAAAGGAAGGAGAAAAGGTTTCGCAGAGAATTATGAACTGACACTGTTGTCCATCAAAAATGAACCTAGAAAGCAATTATGCAGAGGGCAGATAAGATAGTATTCAGGTTCCCCTGTAGAGTACACTGCCCGCTGCCTGAAGTACCACCGCTATTATCTGCCATATTTCAGGGAATGTGTTTGTTTAAAGTACCCCATTCTTCCAATTCTCCTGTCTCTACTGACACGGCACAGATCTGTGTAATCACTGGACGGCCTCTCTCTCCGGCAGCTGTGTGCATGCAAAGGCTAAGCCCCTTCGACAGAGTCGGCACTCCTGTGACAGAGCAGACACCTTTCCATAGGCAAGGCCTGCTGGCTCTCAACATTGACTGAAGGAAGGACTTGTGTGAAAGAACATTATTAAAGCTTTGGGAACAACAGGAAATTGGCCCAGTACAACCCAAAGGTCCATGGCTTGTTTTGTACAACTCTGAGGGCTACAAATAGATTTTACATGAAAAATAGTGTCTTAAAAACTAAGGTGGAAATGTAACAAAGCTCCTATCGGACTGACGAAACCTAAGCTAGTTACTATCTGGATTGGCAGTGGCTAACAGTGGGCTCAAACAGAAGAACGGTGGCAAATGTGCCACAGGCCTGGGCAGCGTTTCATCCTGTGCTAACTAGGTCCTAGGCGCACCGAGCACCAACAGCCGCTTCAGAGCAAGCCCGTTGAGATCTCTCTTCTAATATCATTTTAAAAATCAGAAACACACTGGTGAAAGTTTGACTTTATATTGAGCCAGTATAATGTTTTACATATTCCTTTTCACCCATGATGCCACATGTTTATAACATTTAAAATATACTTGCTGTGTTGCCAATCCATTAAAGTGTAAAATAGGCAATACATTTCATTTATTGCTGATAACTTTATTTAGAATTCTTAGTCAAGTAGATAATGACCTTCCTTGCTTTTTTTAGGATAAGGAAATATAAAAACATTTTTTCATTGTTTTCTGTGTGGCATTGATTGAAGAAGACTCCAGAAATCCCTAGATCAATGTCAGACACCAAAGTTTTACTTTCCCCTCAAATTTTCTGTGCTTTTTTTGAAAGCCTGCATGTAAAAATTTTGAAAGGGAACTTACTGAAAAATATTTGTCAATCTTGAAACTTCAGAGAAGAGATGAAAACACTAACAATAGCAAACCAGCTGAAAGGAAGCTTTGGGATGTGGCTTTATCTAAACACACGCCACACCCTCTTACCGTATTAACCTCTCTTACCGTATTAACCTCTCTTACCGTATTAACCTCTCTTACCGTATTAACCTCTCTTACCGTATTAACCTCTCTTACCGTATTAACCTCTGAGTTGCTACTCTAAAATCCACAGCTATGGATACAATCTTGGTGAGATGGCTCCCCCACATTCCCTCTAGCCCAGCGGTTCTCAACCTGGGGGTCATGGCCCCTTGGAGGGTCAAACGACCCTTTCACAGGTATAGCCTGATTCATAAAAGCAAAATTATAGTTATGAAGTAGCAACGATAATGATTTCACGGTTGGGGGGGTCACCGCAACATGAGGAACTGTATTAAAGGGTCGCGGCGTTAGGAAGGTTGAGAACCATTGCTCCAGCCAGAGGCTAGAAGTACACGTTGCTTTGTACCAACCCCCAACTATCCAGAAACTCACAAAACTGAACACAGTATGTGCCTAGCTATACATGAAGTGTCAAATGCAACATTAATACCATGAAGTAGATACTACTATTCTTATAAACCCCACTTTCAAGATAAGCAAGCTAAAGATCAGATTATTTAAGCAGTTTCCCAAGATCAGAACATGACCAAACAAATCAAGCCAAAGAGTCATTTTGACTCACAGAACTATTCCCTTTGAACTCCTGACCCACGATTACAGCAGCCCAACACTGACCACACACAGACCATGGCCTTAGGTGACAGAAAAACTGATCTCCAGAACAAGCTGAGTGGAGAGACCCAATTCTTGACTCTATGACACATGGAAATCAATGAAAAATGACTTTAATTCCAATTCGATAAAGTTGTTTTCCTTCATGGGACTGGTCGTGTGATTTTATAACCCTCCATTAAACAGTATTTGTAAAATGGATCAAAGCTTATTTACTAAAAGTGTGACAAAAGTCCTTAGGAGCCATCTTGATGAGCCTCACAGGCCCAGAGAGGAAAATGTGAGCTTTCGCAAACAACAACAAAAGAAAGCATGGGATTCATGATTTACCAAAAAAAAAAATATCACTCTTTCATGACGGTGAAAAACAAACACACACACAAAACCAACAGGACAAATGTATCAACTTCTCAGCCGTAACAGGATATCAATACATGATGTTGAAGTTTAGTATGTAAGCAGACATCTCAAGCATTTGCCTTGCCTTTTCTATAGAAACCAGATCGATGCGTAATTGAAGTAAGCATCTCTTCATTCAATTAGTTTAGCTAACAAATGAAAATGAATTGATAGAGATAAAATAGTGCCTTTTTATAATTCCTAATGAATCAAGTGACTATATACAATGCATCAATGCCTGATAATATTACAAAGTAAAACACAATCAGGTATTATCACCTGCTA